TTTGCTTAATTTGGGCTGAAATTTGTTACAACCTCCACGTGTAGGCCTGGTTACTTCCATTCCATCAGCCATTAATCGTATTAGTTACAACTAAGTACAGCTGCTCATTAGAGTCGATTCTAGGCAATACTGATAGCCAGGACTGCCAGTGGGAAGGTGGGCACTGGGAAGTATGCCCAATGTTAATGTTTTTTCCGCAAATCTCCCAGCAGCCCCTTTCGACTGCTTGTTCCACAGCCTGGAGGGAAAGGACGACGAGCAAACTCTGTTACGGCATTGAAACTGGGTATACTTACCGGCAGAGGCAGCAGTTTGGTTCGTTCCGATGAAGAAACAGCCGATGACCGGGAGCTATAGTGTCCGTCTCATTCAGACGTGAATGCGTGAATGCGATTTCATACCCTTCAAGACTTTTTCTGTAATTTTTATCTTGCTACAAAAGCGAATGCTTCACGGTCAAAAGGCCCATAGATTGTACGTACCTATCATTCTTCACAGACGGCTTTGATCAATATAAGAGAACTTTCATTCCGTAGACGTAAACTTTTACTTGATCAAGAGCTAATGGGAGCTAATAAGGTCTATTTGTCTCGGCCGTGGAAATGAAGCTTGGCAGACGCAAAAGGGAAATGAAAGCTGTAGAACATAGCATTTTTTTGAACTGCGAACTCAAGAAGCTCTATTATAATAATTTGTAAATAAGTGGGCTCTGCTCGACAAGTCACTGCGCAGTTGCAATGCTAAGCGTAAAAAGCCACGTGGAAGGTTAAAGCGCCAAGACGATCAGAGGCTGTGCGTGAGGGTCAATACTTTGGAATATGGTATCGCGCAGTCTCTCCGAACCATCGCCTCTATAACGACGGCACTGGCACTAGCCACAATTTTGTAGCGTGTTCTGAATCTCACGGTCTTCTCTATAAAGCTTGGTGCGCTGCGAAGGATCTTCCATCTCCTTTCTTTCATCTTCTTCGCCTCGGTTTCGCCATGCCTTCAAAATCATCAATAATCAACGAGCCCGTTGCTGTTAATACTATGGACCTTTATCGAGATTTTCACCTTCCATCCGAGAAGTCCCCCTCTTTACATGCTCCACCTCCTTATACCAACCGACACGATCACTCTCAACTTGATCAAATGAACGACTCCTGTTCATCACCTCACCAATGCACGGACACTCAAAGATGTCACGCTTCGCGCTTACGACGTGCCATTCTACCGATCATTATTGCTCTTGTCTCGTTAGGCGGTCTACTGGCGCTTTCATGCGCATTGCACGGTTTCATTGGAGCTGAAGACACTGGAGCGCTTTTGAAACGCGCCACAGGTAGCAATGGGACTTTTGTAAATAATAAATGCAAGTTCACTCGGTTACACACATTTCGGAACTGTCGTTTCTTACCATTTTTGCTTTTCCTAAAACAGTATACCTCATCATCGTCTTTGTTGGTCTATTCTTGGTGGTGATACTTGCCATCTGCTTGAGTGCATGGTGTTGTCGAGGTACGTTAATGAACATAATTCTCGTATAGCATACTCAAAAATTCATCGTTATTAGGTTCATTCGAGAATCCCCTTTGCTGTCCATGCTACTTGTGCGCCTGTTGTGGAGGTCTAGGTGCGTATTATTTCCCGTTTCATCATATATTCCTCGAATAAGTAATTGATTCCTGGTTCTAGCATGCCTTGAATGTATTGGATGTGGACTGTGTGCAGAAGGGATTGAGAATGCTTGATCATCATTGAACCAATGCTTATTTCTAATACGACTACAGAGTTTGGATTGTGTCTGTTATACCCTGCTGAACATTGTGTTTCTTTACTCTGCATCTTGGACCTTTTAACATTTTCCTGTAATTCCCTATAAAGCTAGTCATGCTCGAGGCCCGACTTCATGTTTCTTATCTAAATTTTACATACGTAAAACACAATGTCCCTTCCAACAAATCGCCTCGTCCCACCCTGACTTCCCTCTTCTGTCTCTTTTTTGCAGCTCGCTTTCAAGATTTTTACCTTTCTCATCCTTAGTCCATCGTAAAACCCGTACCTGGAATTTGTCTACTTTCATACTGCAGGGCATGTTCACTAGGCCGCTGAAATACTGGCATCTCGGAATCTCAATGCCCCCATACATGGACTCGATTGATGACTCGGTACGGATACAGCAGTGGGTCTCTTTGTACTTATATTTGACCTTCCACCACTTGTAAATCCTGCTGTCAAAAGCCGTTTTTATTCGTTGACAACATTTTTTGAACATCAGCACGGCCATGCAAAGGTTTGTGTGTGCGTGATCGGGGCTTAGACATATAGCGCAAAGTTTACCGGTCAATTTTGAACATTGGCTGGTCATAAGGATGTACTTAATCGAAGAAATTCAAAGAGATAAAACGTGATTTAATCATTTTAATGCTGAAAATTTAACTCTGGGATGGTACATAAGCATATAATTGGAGAATAAAAACAACAACACTATCTGTACGTGCAGTACACCACGTGGTTCGGTGGCGTAGTTGGTTATCGCATCTGTCTAACATCATTTGCCATAAGCGGAAATTCCACAGAAGGTCCCCAGTTCGAGCCTGGGTCGAATCATGTTTTTGTTTTAACAAATGATAAAGGATGGTACGCGGACCGGACTAAGGAACTGTCAACAGGATCATGTGACTATCCTGCCCCAATATCGGCGGCACACCAGAAATTAGAATTACTTAGAATCAGAACGGTCCAGCTCTACCACACTGGAATAGGAAAATTCGAAAGCTGTAATACTGGTCGTTCGCATAAAGTCGAGCTCCTTTCCATAAAACATAGAATTCCCTACAATTCTAGGCATTCGTACCTGTTCGATCTGCTCGGTTTTTCGGAGACTAGGAACCACTCCGAGTAGAGTGCAACTCCAATCGATGAGTTCGGCGCACCACCACAAAATCTTGTTGTCAACTTGTTGGCTGGAATGCTCGAGAATTTCATGAATCCAATATATCAAGTTTAACTGTTTCTTTTTCTTGTTCTCCAGAGATGTATCACTCCACTCAAGATGAACCGTGAAGCTCATCCTAGCCCAACAGGCCGCCATAATCTGATCAGGGCTCTGACAATTCCTTGGAAGAACGTCATTATACTATTCTTCGTCCAGCTGATATGCCATTGTAGGGCCATTGTCCTCATCCGTACTTCCTCCCGCGGCTCTGTCGCGATCACAAGGCACAACAAAAAAACTCAGAGTGAGACACATGATACGGATATGCGCATTTATTTTGTCTCGACAATGTATCGCTATCGCTGTGGTAGAGCAGAAGAAAAAGATTCTCAGTGTTACATTATCAGTTCAGCAGTCAATGTAAAGCTCAAGCTCGACGTATACAGGCATTTCTTTCTCAAATGTCAGTCGTTCCGTTGATCTTGTTTCCTATTAACCGACCTCTTTTGTTTTCGAAGATATCAATATTGTCAATGTATAATACCAATCTGAGACTGAATGCAGTCACATTTTACTAGTGCTAGTGGGGTGAACCAAGCAGGCTATCAAAGTAATCGAAAGTGACAGAAAGAATTGCAAAATAAATAAACAATGCCTCTGAAGGTGGGGTAAGTAAAATTGCTTCCGAATCGTCAGGACGTTAAAAGACGTGGACGTAGCTGCGCTGATCTACATCCACACTTCCATCCTTTCCCCTCTCCAAGGAGACATCTCCCTCGGTTCAAGGTACAACGAGATGTCGCATGAACTGTCGCCTTCTTCGTCGCGTTGGTCTCCTAGGTCGGTGGTCCCATACTGACGTCAACCAATCAACAAAACTAACAGGAACATGACTTTTATTGCCAATAAACCCCCCCTTTTTTGTACCATATGCGCGCTCTTAGTCCCAGCACCACTTCCAGCAGTGACGATTCGTTGGATAGCAGTACCAGCGCTATATCTACGTCCACCAACTCTTCGTCGTCGTCGTCTTTGACGCGTGAGCGACGGGGAATGACGCGTTACACTTTCCCAGAATTCGCACCTGCTTCGTCGAGGTTGAAGCGTACTCCTAAATACGCTCCCGAACACGTCCTCACTGTCCGCGCGCGTAACGCTAACATCCCCATCCTCCTCCGTCATCAGAACAAGAAGACCAATCACGCTGCTGTCGGTCGCCGAGGGCACATCTCAGACGATGATTCGGATTATGAGCAACCTCATTTGCAGAACCAACAACGGTCTAAGAAGCAGAAGGTCAAATCCCAGGAGCAGCTCGAGGCTGAGGAACGTCGCATGCTTGAGCGCAAGGCCGAGTTGGGGGATGATCCTCTGTTGGACGCGAGTCGAATGTGTCCTGATAAAGTATGGTGTCTCCCGTGCAGCAAGTATATCCAGATCGACAGCAGGAGACAGTTTTACGGGACGTTATGGTATAAACATCGGGGTAAGAGACACGGTGATGTTCCGTTGAAGGTATGGCTCCCTTGCCCTCGGATTTATTGCATTTGGGCTAACAAGGAGATTTCATTTGTAGCGTTCAGACATGGACAATGTTGTGAACATGGATGTAGACATGAGTGAAGCATCCGTCAATTGCACTGGCAAGAGCTCAGCAAGCCGAGAATCAGAATCCTCAGTGGCTTTTGCGGTGCCTGTGATCGACGATGCTTTTGCGACTAATATTCTTGCGGAGATGTACTCAAAGGCTAAGGGCCTCCGATTATTATCGCTTGCGGCGGCGGCTTTGGCCTAGATTGACTTTTGATATTTCAAGCTGAACATTTTGACATGTTTTCGATAAGATCTGCTCCCTTGTGTAAACTATGCTGTACTTGTATTGTATTCATCCGGCCATGGTGCTCATCAGCTCATTTTCACTATCTCACCTCACTAATACCATGATTTTATAGTTTGTCAATGGAACCGTAAATCAATGAATTTATGCATGACAGTGTTCTATGATTGGTTGGACACTGTACGTGGAAGGGTCAACAATTCATGTGTTGGTAACAAAGAAAAAATAACCTTCAACAAAAAATGTCCCTGGGGAGATTCGAGCTCCCGGCTTCGCGGATATGCTATGTTTTGGAAACAACCACAACACGATGATTTAACCACTAATCGACAGGGACTTGTTATTGGTAAGTCTAAAGCCCATCTTGAATATGAGCCGCATTCGGACCTCGTCAAGTTGTGCCGACTACTGTAACCAACAACTACATATGGCTCTTTCTTCCTTCCTACTTACATCTGGCACCAAAAAAACCGTTGTTGATGCTGAACTTGATTCCTTATTCAAAAATGCATCTGCTGGACCTGTAAGTACTCAATTCATGCGTCTGTCCTCAATTCACTGAGCAATGATTAGAATCCCTTGCCCAATCTGAGCTCCGGCAAGCTCAAAAGAAAACATCAGAACACTCCTTCAGTATCTTCAACTTCCACGAGTAAAAAAACCAAATTGACAGTGCCCAATGCTTCGCTGAAAACTTCGAAGCAGACTCCTTCCGAAGGAAAAACAAAGCTGAAAAAGAACCCAACGCAAGTATCAAAGGCCGCCGCAAGAAAGGGTCATCATGAGGGACCAGAGAGCGAATCCGACGGTGACGACTCCGAGCTAGAGAATGCGTATCTTTCGAGATTGGCTAGAGGGAACAGTGAAAGAAAGACTTTGACATCAGACCATGAAGATGATAGCAAAGAGGAATTGGAGGTTACAAAAGGAGACGATGTTGAGGATGCCTCTAGTAACGAGGAGGACGAGGAAGACCATCAGCCTCCTCAGCACGAGACTCTTTCAAGGAACCAGCATCCGAAAAAATTGCCAAAGGCCATTAGTAAATATGCTCCTCCTGACGAGACGCTCGAGCAACGAAACGCACGAACAATCTTTGTTGGTAATCTCAGCGTCGAGGTTTCTCAGAAGAAGGTACCGCTTATACTCCCTTTCATTTAATCCTTACTTATCCTTATCCGAAATTCAATCCAGTCACTACTCAAATCCCTGCAACGACATATCCTTGCCCTTATCCCTTCATCCTCCGATTCCTCCAACATAAAGCCTAAAATTGAATCAACCCGATTTCGTTCTGTCCCGTTTGCTATGCCTACTTCCACACTCGAAAAGGACGAGGACGAAGCTTCGACCAGAAAGGACAAATCCAAATCATCCTCGAAAGCTCGTCAGCATGATATCGACCGTACCAAGTCCTGGAAGAAATCTTCCGGGCCCGGCGAGAAAGAAGAGGAAGATTCAGCCAAGAGCGAGAAAAAATTTCTTACCCCGGCGCAAAAGAAAAAGATCGCGTTCATCAATCAGGATATACACGCTTCTGGATCCAGCATCAACGCCTATATTCTCTTCGCCCATCCTATTCCTACGTCTGACGAGGTTCCGAAGCGTAAATCGAACCTACCTCCGCTACCGGATGTGATGAATCCTTATGAAGCTGCTCGTCTGGCCAAAGAGGCGTGCGACGGGTCAGAATTTATGGAGCGGACTTTGAGGGTTGACGTCGTTGCTCAGACTGCGGATTCGGATTTGGTAGAGGCTCAGGGAAGGGTGCTCAGAACAGGTAGCGATGTAGATCCCAAGCGATGCATATTCGTCGGGAATCTGGATTTCGAGAGTAAAGAGGAGGATGTGAGAGCGTACTTTGAGGGAGTCCTCAGTGCAGAGAAAGGACCTAGAGTTGGTCGTGTGAATGAAGATGATGAGGAACAGGACAGTGATAGCGTCAGCGACGGCGATAAAGGCAATGACGCAAAGCAGATAACCTCAAAAGGACGAGGTCGCTCAGAAGGCTGGGTGACCCGTGTTCGAATCATTCGCGACAAAGACACCCAGCTTGGTAAAGGCTTTGGTTATGTTCAATTCGCAGAACGCGACTGCGTGGATCAAATCATTGCCGCTGCCCTCGAGCCTGGCAAGCTCAAGTTTGCAAAACGCAAGCTGAGGGTCGAGAGGTGTAAAACAATCCCAGGAGGGTCGTTCAAAGTTAAAGTCAAGTCGGCCTCTTCATCATCGTCCCGCCCAAATATTCCTGCTTCCAAGGCCAATCGATCCAGCCCGACAATGTCGACCTCGCTATCGGTCCCGAAGGGTGACCCGAACCTGGGCTCCAAACTTGCACATCTTTCGAAAGAGGAAAGAAAGAGTGCTAAAGCAGCTGATGCGGATCGTTTAGCGCGGAGGTTGGCGAAGAAAAAGTCGAGGATGGCTATGGCTGTCGGTGCAGGTGCAGCTAAAGTCAAAGTACAGGGTAAAGAACGCGGGAGAGAGAGAAAGGCACGAAGTGGTGGTGGCACACTTGGAAAGCAAGGAAAAGGACATGGTGTGGGAAGTGCTACGAAAAATAAAGGAAAAGCAATAAGTGAGAGGGCTTTCAAAACAAGGAATGTAAAGAAGTGATCTGTATCGTACATACTGCTCATTGCTCTTAAATAGCCCTGGAAGGGTCCAAATTCCAATGATTTCATGAAGACGACCACTCTCTTGCTAAAGCACGTTAACCATGGTGAACCATGACAACGCTAACAGACTCTTGATTCTCTAAACACACTTCTAGTCCTCCCCGCGTCTCAGCCGACAGCTCAGCATTTCTGTCCCTTCGTACAGAGAAGATCATCTTCACGCACAATATCTGATGTAGTTCTGATGATTCGGACTTCTACTTCAAAAGCTGATTGTTCTACCAAGTAATCACGGCTCCAAGCAAAGCTTGCTTCCCTGACTACCAAGCGGGATTTCTTTTAGCGCTATGGGAAAACTCAGGCTACTGCTAACTCCTATACGAAAACTTGCAGACAATGCGAAATTACGTTCACTGAGGCTCGCACGGGAATTTTATCTCCCAGAAAACATCAAAGATATAAGGAACCAGCCTGCGTGGGCGGTGAGCGGAACCTGCTCGAGATGGAAAGGCATAGCACTGGCAAACCTCTGTGGTCGAATATTTTGTTTGAGGTTTGTGATCCAAGATACGTGCCATTGATGTATTCAATAGGGGTGTGCCTTCGTCAACCTCATCTGCACCTATTGGCGTTGACGGGTTCGAGGAAAACCTGCAGGCTGCAGCAGCTTCGTGGTACCTGGTCGAATTACTAATTTCTAGCTCCACTAGGTCGCGCCACTTGACATTCGCAACCAGTCCAATGACACAGGTAGAAATACGGTCACCTACTATCAATTACCTGGCTCTTCCTGCTTGTTCATGCTGGAAATTCAACTGTAGCAAACCCCAATTCAGGACCCGCAGGCCGTTGAACGGGCACCAAAACTGCGAAAAGTTAGACTGAGGGGAACAGGTTCTGGATCCTCTTCCATGTTTTCCAACATGGAATCAGCTCGTCACTCTTACTATCTGGACCTTCCACAGACGAGCTCAAGTTTTTGCTGCTCTCAATGGTGCGAGATGATGGCCATGGAAGAAAGGGACTCCAACTCATAATTCTCTCTCATGCCAAGCTTTCCATATGCCAGTTGGTTCAGGTTTTCAATTCGGTGGAGACCAAGTTTTGGCTTACCGCTAACTTAGTAGTACTACATAGTATATACAGAAACAGAGATACACAAATAGAACCGAGTTGTCAACATTTCCTTCCTCGACACGAGCATCTCCATCTATCTCACTTGCTTTACCAACCCGCTCTGGGGCTCGGTGGACATATAGAATGGTAGCTGTCCTCGCTCTTCCCTGCAAAGAGGAAGGGATACCTCGGCGCGCATAGCTCCGATATCTGGCTAAGGGTATAGCGATGCCCCCTTCTCTGCGCATCTCGTACGATCTCCTCGCCCTCGGCAATTCGTTCTGGAGTGTCGTAGTTTATGATTTCGAGAGTTCCGTCGCTGTTCATCACGAGTCGTTCGTTCGTCCGTCTAAGAGGAGCGGGTCGACGAGGTTGGGATGGTTGGCTTGAGTCTGCTGTCGGTTGGCTCGAGCTAGTAGTTGCTGGTTGGCTCGAGCTAGTTGCTGGTTGGCTCGAGCTAGTTGTTGGTTGGCTCGAGCTAGTTGTTGGTTGGCTCGAGCTAGTTGTTGGTTGGCTCGAGCTAGTTGTTGGTTGGCTCGAGCTAGTTGTTGGTTGGCTTGAGCTAGTTGTTAGTTGGCTCGAGCTGGCTGTCGGTTGACTGAAGCTCATTGCTGGCTGATTAAACGCTGTTGTTGCTGGATGACTCAAGCTCGATGTGTCTATGATTTCGAGAGTTCCGTCGCTGTTCATAACGAGTTGTTCGTGCGTCCGTCTAAGAGGGGCCGGTCTACGAGGTTGGGATGGTTGGCTTGAGTCTGCGGTCGGTTGGCTCGAGCTGGCTGTCGGTTGACTCGGGCTCATTGCTGGCTGATTAAACGCAGTTGCTGGTGGTTGACTCGAGGACGTTAGGTTTATGATTTCGAAAGTTCCGTCGCTGTTAATCACGAGTCGTTCGTTCGACCGTTTAAGAGGGGCCGGTCTACGAGGTTGGGATGGTTGGCTTGAGTCTGCTGTTGGTTGGCTCGAGCTGGCTGTCGGTTGACTCGGGCTCATTGCTGGCTGACTAAACGCAGTTGCTGGTGGTTGACTCGAGCTCGTTGTGGACTGACCGAGGCTTGTTGCGGCGGATTGCCCTAAGCCAAAGCTCGCGATCTGAGCAGGACTGCTAGGACCAAGTGAGTCGACATCGGAAGGCTGACTAAAACCAACTTGACTGGAGGAGGGTTGTGAAGGTATAAGATCATGTTCACGACGTACTCCCATTGGGAACCTAGCAGTCCATAGATTAAAAGGTTCTTCGGGGCGACTTTGGTTCGAGGTTGTCGACGGGTCGCTGGAGCTAGCTGCTGCCTGAGCGGGGTTTGAGGTAGCGGCAGAAGCCTCGAGTATCTGGTCCTGAAAGCGAGACCTGGGTCCCCAGAGATCGATAGAATCTGGCCGTTGAACTCGCTGACTAGTAGACAAAGAGGGACCCTCTAGGGAACTAGAGGCGACGACGGGAATGACCGGTGGAGTCGATGTTGGCGGGAGAACAGCATTGGAAGTGCTTTCCTGTGGAACAGGACGAACGTCAACAGGTGGCGAAGCTTTTCGGCGTTTCGAACGCAGAGTAGCAAGGTCTTCGGAAGGGTTGTCCGTTGAGATTGCGCGAGAACGTTTATTA